GCAAGACAAGATCTCCTAGGATTCTCCATATATTTAGTTTCTCTATTTGCATTTGATTTCTAGATTGTTTAGGATACTTAATATTTTATTGCTTTATTAGAGTTATAGCTAGATTAGGAATAGATCTATTTAATGCCTATATAAAGGCCCTTCCTCTTGTTATTTTGGATCATTCAGAAATTAATAGAAACACCAAACTTTTGTTCAAACACTTTGCCTTAGATATCTTTTCGATCTCTTTTGCAATTTTATTGTTTCAAGGGGTGCGGTTGTGCAAACATCGAGACACCTATCGGCGATTCAAGGCACTGGTTTGTGGCTTATCGACAATCAGGACACGCGATCTTCATCAACCCTCCAAGGCGCCCAGCAGCGCCTGCGTAGCCTCTGACCCATGCCGGTCCGCGCCGTGCCGTGCCCAGTGCACGCCAGCGCGCCCCAGCAACCCTCAGCCGTGCCCAGCGTGCACCCGAGAGGCACCAGCCGTGCCAGGGCCATGCCAGCATGGATTCGTGACTTCCGGTCCGAGTCTCTTTTTGGAATTTTAGTATTTTTCCGTGCCAGTCCAAGCCAGTTTAATCAATCAGAAAAGTCCAAGCATTTTAGCATATAATTAATTATTCCGAGCATTATACTTACCATTATTTTGCTTAAACATTTATGTAGCCTAAGGAGAGTCGAGCCTCCGACTGCTACCCAGTATCAGCACTTGCGTCAAATTTCAAGTTATCAGGTGGGGGTCATGTACTGGATTCCACATCATAGATAATATTTGTAGCATGGCAGAGGTATGTATTGAGACAGTTAGTTCCGGGTGGGGGTCGACCTAAGGGCTTAAATATCCCATCTGATGACCGGTGGGGGACCGACCTAAGGGCCTTTATACCCCATCGGCGTGTGCACATGAGCGGCCGACCTAAGGGCCGAGGGTCTTTCGACCACAGCAGAGAAAAGAAAAGAAAAGTTTACAGTTTCAGCCTTTATATATTTATGTTCAGGACACGTTATCATAGATGATGTTTTATTCAGTACTGGTCTTTGCAGAGCATAGTGGTTTGCTCACGCCCCCATTGTGTTTTTCAGGAGACGGAGTCGAGCGTGCCGGATGAGCACAGATGTGGCGAAGCGTGGTCATGAGAGTTGGACATATTTTACGCACATTTTTATGTCCTAGTTGTATGATCATGTATTATTCGGATATGTATGCATGTATTTCTGTATTTCGGATGCTTCCGCTAGCAGACTAGACAGTGTGAGACAGTTCAGACATTGCATGTTTAATTTCATTATCCGCAGCGGATAGATTGGTTGCATGTTTCATTTATGTCTGTGAGCAAGTTAAGTTAAGTTTTTATCTGTGACATCCCGCAACAAGTTAGTATTTTCAAAAACCAAGCTCGCACGACCTTTCGAAAATAAAAAGAAAAATTTTACTCGGATTTTTCAAAGCTAGTAAGGCAGGGTGCGACAAGAGGTATGCGGTTTGTGTATAGGATATCGAAAATTAACCTCAAATAACTTATGAGGCCCTTCTTCTAGCGCAAAACTGTTGTTGTATGAAATTTAACAACGATACTAAATGATAGCAAGATGTAATTAAAGCAAAAACGATATAAATTTTGGATTATTGTTGTGTTTTTTATGAGTAAAGGAAGTCGGTTTTTGTGTATAACCGAGTTTTTTTTGCGTATGTGTGTACAATGTGCGTAAAAAAGATCTCCGTACAATAATAAATTCCGCTATTTACAGTACAGTGCATGTGACTTTTCGTACGAGGTAGATTAGATCGCATTTAATGTTGAGCAGCTACATTAAAGCAGTCTATATGGCAATGGGGGACAACAATGATTGCGAATGTAATATGTGGCCCAATCAGGTATGCGCCTTGTCACCTGCTTCGGGATCCAACTACGTCGGACCTCGGTTTGTGTGGATAATATTCAAGAAGGAATATTCGGGAAATCGGTTTTTTGTCTTTTATGCGAGGTCGGCTTACTGCCATAAGTGAAGTCGGTTCTTCGTTTATGTGTGAAGTCGGTTTGTCACCTTTTTATACCGAGGTGGGATAAGTTGGCTGTCTGAGATGAGTTGGCAAAAGAGTTGTGGATATAATTTGATGAATCTTCTCTTTAACCTGCGCAAATCAGGTCGGTTGTCAACAAAAATCAAAAGCTAAAACATAGAAACATGGTCCAACTTACGTGTTATGAATAATGAATTTAAGATTAGCGTATTGAAAATCATTAATTGGGTCAAAAGCCCAAATGCCCAATTCTCACGCTGGAGTGTTTAAAATCATTAACATGTTTAAAAAGTAATAACTGACGCTCCACATAAAAAAACAACAAAAAAGTGAAGTGCTTTTAATGAGTGAAACATGTAGAAGTGTAAAGCAGTTGACCCGTTGGTATCCTTGACTGGTACCGGGTTTCCGGTTTTAACCAGTTTTCTGCCGGTTCACATAGTTCTCAACCAAGTTCTTTTTACAGTGGTTTATTATTTCAGACCGGACCGCTGGGATGGTCGGTTCCCGTTTAAACCGGTCGAATTGGCCGGTTCGGTCCGATTTTGAAAACTATGTGCACAACACAAAACTTTTGATCATTATAATAATATATTGCATGTACCACCCTATTTCATCGGATAATATAAAAACGATTTAGAAATTTACTTAAAATGCAATATGTCACTTATTTATATAGGTAACCGAATAACGGATGAAAATATTATTTTATAACAAGTTATTTTTTTTATTATAAAATATTGTTTAGAAATATTCTAATATTTGGCTTGTTACCCATTTCTTTTCTTGTTTATCTTTACTAAATTTTTTTTATAACACTCAAACTCGAGAAAATTCAATTATAAAACCCAACTTTTTGTTATTGTATCAATATAAGGTCTGAATTTTATTTTTTTCCAATAGAAGACTTACATTTGAGATTATTCTCAATTTAATGACTAATTTTTTAGTTAACTTTTCATTACAAGGCCCAACTAACTTTACATTTTGACATAAATATGTGAACCAATTATTATGTTAACAAAAATGTTATTTTTTTTCTGTGTAAGATATATTTTACATACTTATAATAAAAAATAATAAATATCTTTAGTAAAAATAATTTTTATTAAATGTTTGCATAATTGTAATTTGTATAGTTTTATTTTATTATTAAAAATAATCTTTATTAAATTTTTGCATAATTGTAATCTATATAGTTTTTATAATATTATTAAAGTAATTTTACTAAAGATATTTATTATTTTTGTATTATAAATATGTAAATATATATTACAAGAAAAAAAATAATATTTTTGTTAACATAATAATTGGTTCATATATTTATGTCAAAAAGTAAAGCTAGTTGAGCCTTGCAGTGAAAAATTAACTAAAAAAGTAGGCCTTAAATTGATAATAATCTGAAATATAAGCTCTCTATTGAGAAAGAATAAAATTCAGACCTTAAATTAATACAATTAGAAAAAGTTGAGCTTTGTAATAGAATTTCCCTTCATTTACTCTCTCTCAGGTTAGTCAAAGTTTTTAGTCTACTGTGTCTAGTACGCGTATGCCCCCACCCAACCCATAAAATGAAGAAGCAAATAAAAAAATAAAATAAAAATAAAAATCAAGGGAATCGATCGTTTAAATAAATAGCTTCCTTTCTCATATGGAATATATGATGTTGGAAAAGATTGAGACCTTAAAGAGATGCCTTTTTAAGGAATATTACTTTGCACACTCGTGATTGTGGGCCATCGATCGATGTACCTTAATTTCATCAATTTTGCTCTTTTTATATAACAAAGCTGATCGCATCATCCTATTCACAATGGTTTAAACTGCTTCACAGACAATTTGGCTCCTTCATCTCCTATTGTTTCTTTCTCAGTTATCAACACAACGCCACCAAGACTCGAACCCACGAGTACTACAACAAGATGCATACGAGTCGACCGCTTTCATTGCAGGTTTATTTCATCACTTTCGAATTCAAAAACTAAAATATGTTTCTAGTTTTTATTGGTTACTTATTTTAAGTAGCTTCGTCAGACATCTAATTAATTCATAGGCTTATATATTATAATAGATCGTATATTATTACCATTTATTGTCTGGATATATACATATTTATAAAAATACATTATATATATCAAATCAGTCCATTTTTATTTCAATGGCCCACGCCCCCGATAAGAAATAAATAAATTTGCGTTAACTTGCTCTTATGTGTATTTCAGGTATCCATTTTACAACTTATTGTTTCATTCACATGATCCTTTTCAAGGCGCTTCTATTTTTATGTGAGGAATCGGAAGCATACAATTTCTCCATATTGGGAAAGCAATACATTTTTATTTTTCTTTAGCCAGCCACGGTGGTACTCGGAACAATGTAGATATATTATAACATAGCCATAGCTTAGTTTTTAAATTCAACAATTTCATTCCAAAGTTACAAATATGAGAAGGAGATCAATTGCATGATCATGAAATAATAAAATATACTGGTACAATACTCTTGCGATTGAAATAAATAATTATATATATGGAAACAAAATTTAAAATACAACAAAAGAAATCTATATTTAGAATTATAAAGATTTCTTCAAAATTAAATTCCTATTCATATATAAAATGCCTATAACAAATATAAATATATATTACTAAGTTTTACAACAGTATTATCACTCAAGTTATGCGTTTTATAAGTTTAAAATTATAAATACAGCATCAAATTTATATAGATTATTTTTTTACCATATTAGAAATCAACATGTAGATTATACGATACAGAACCATCACGAATACGTTTAAAGAGGACACATTGGCTACGAACTCTCTTTCTCTATATATATTTATATATATATTATAGAAAATACGATTCTTTTAATTCTTTTTATCTTAATCATATTAAAAATTTCACCGTAATTAACATCTTTAATTTGATGCATTCTTATCTAACGACTCTATAGACTATCGAGCTTAAAGTGAGGATGTGTTGCACCGGTTGTGAGAGAATCGTCAAAGAAGCTATTCACAAACTTAAAGGTAAACTTATACGTACTCAAAGTTTTACACTTCACCAAGACACCTCTATGGCTCTATAATTTGAGGTTTTCATTCATCTGCAAAGCTATGAAAGACAAATGGCATACGCAATTGAATTAGACTCATAATGATTGCTGATTTTACAATTTTCGAAAATATCGCACGTACTGTGGGCCCTATGATCGAGTCTATCAACTTTCTTGAACTTTAGGCATCGAACGGTGAAAAAATTTTGTAACATGCTCTTTAAAACTCATTCATGGTATTAATAATTAGTAAGTAAAACTATTAAACAATTTCCCCAATTTAAAAATCTAAAACAAAAAAAGTATTTTATTTGTTATCCCTCTCTAATTAAGATAACAGAACTCTCTTTTCCAGAAGACCTTAAACAAAAAGTTACATGTGATTTTAAGAAGAAGAGTATGATTAGTTCATCTTTTATTATCCAATTAAATTTTAATATTGTGATGCGTACAATTGCTTTTTTTTTATATATATATATATATATAAAACAAAAAAGTATGCATATTATTTAGCCGTTTCCAAATTTTCATGGTTTTGATTATACATAGGAGTAGACTCGGTGGAGGTGGAGTTGGAGATGGAGAAAGTGACGGTAATAGGATACGTTGAGCGGAACAAAGTGTTGAAGGCGGTGAGGAGGGCAGGAAAAAGGACAGAGTTCTGGCCATACCCGAACCCTCCTCTCTATTTCACAACGGCTCACAATTACTTTAAGGACACGACAGTCGAGTATAAGGAGAGTTATAACTATTGGCGCCATGGGTACAACGCCCCCGACCACCATGGCTCCCTCCACGTTACCCATCGTGGAGATGACAAAGTAAGCAACTTGTTCAACGACGACAATGTTAACGCCTGCCATATAATGTGATTTATAATAAATAGATTTTGTGATAGGGATGTCATTGTACCACATCATCATGCATGTACTCACGCGTATGTGTACAAGTATATAAGGGGATGGGTTCCAGTGATATTGATGATTGTCAATGAAAAAATAAGAATGTAAATTAATCATAAGATATGATAAATGTAACGGTCAAGAAGGAATCAAAATTACACAATAATGAAGTGCTTGATGTATATTTTTCTCCGCCTCACCTGGTTACGCAGCCACGTCCAGGTCACCAGAAATTAATGGACATTTAGGTTCATAGATATGCGTCATACATTCATGTATATGAACAATAGGGGTCTGGTAGTAAACATTAAATGTTCAAAAGTCAAAATACTGACAATTAGTCACCAAAATAGTAATTATTAATACATAGTATAATTGTTTCAACATCCGTAATAAAATAAAATACCCAAAAACTAAGAGCATCTTTGTGTATAAGAAATTTTCAAAAAAAAAATCAATATTTTAACTCAACCAATTTTTTTAATTCAACTTTAACTCAAACCCACTATCATCAATATTATCAATATAATTAAATAATATCAATCAATAATTCATACACACCACATCAACTTTAATTCACTATTCATCTACTCACATTATTTTAACTAACCATTATTTCAAATCATCTCTCTCCTACTTTTACATCAAATCAATTTTGATTATTTTATTTTAAATATTATTTTAATATACTCACTAACAACTAATCATACAACCTTTTTCAAAATTAATCAAACCAAACCAAAAAATCCAAACAAAACTAAAAATTTCTATAAACAAACATGCTCTAAGCTTTGAAGGTAAAATGTACTCAGTGTCATACACTTTTCCCTTTGTGCTACTGACACATCAACAATAATGATAAAGTGATATGCGCAAAATGTCACCGCCTAAATATTAACAACGAAAATTTTAAGATAAATCTCTCCTGACACTTTCAAGTTCCATTTCAGTCCCCCCTCTAAAAAATGTTCTCTGCACTCCCTACCCCTAATTTACACTTTCCATTTCTCTCCCCATATATAAGGTAAGAGTTTTATTATTGATTTATTTTTTGATCATTTATTCATAAAGAAAAACTCTCTCTCCTCGGTTTTTTCTCTCTCTCTGTTCCTCGCTACTGTCTTCTCTCTCTCTGTTCGTTTTTTCGTCGCCATCCATCACCGAATCTCTCTCTCTCTCTCTGTGTTCGTTCGCCGCCATCGCCATCGCCATCTCTGCTATCTCTCTTTCTCTGTCTCTCGCCCTCTCGCCGTTTGTCTCTCTGTGAAGCAATGGCCGACTCCAAAAAGAAATCTCCATGCAAACCGTCCTCCTCGACACCCACGAAGGCATTACGAAGCTCAAAGGTAACTTTTGATTTTTGGGCTTTGTTCATAATTTTAGGATTTTTTTTCAATTTAGGGGTTGAATTCAAAAATTAGGGTTCTTTTTCAATTTAGGGCTTGAATTCGAAATTAGAGTCTAACAGTAAGTAAGGTAAGATTTTGGGAATTTTTTTCAATAATTTTGAATTTTTTCTTGAATTCAAAATTTGGGGATTTTTTTCAAAACTTTGGATATTTTTTTTGAATTCGAAAATTTTCGAAATTTGGGATTTGGTTGATGCTAATGAACTTTGAATTTGATTTTTATTTCAAAAATTAAGAATTTTATTGATAAATTAGGGCTCGTTGCATGTCTAAGGTTTAGATGAATTATGGCTCAATTATGGCTAAATTAGTTAAGCATCTTTCTAATATTAATTAGGGCTCAATTAGTTAAGCATGTACTGAATTTTATTATTTTTTTTTTTAAATTTTGTATTAATTGTTTAATGACTGTGTGTTTGATATTTGAACTAGTCTTTTGTATCTTGCACAACTGGTTCTTTAATGGTGCAGCTGGTTTGATTGCTATTTGGTTCTTTAATTGTGTTGCTATTTTGTTCTTTAATGGTGCTGCTGGTTTGGTTGAAATGATGCTGGTTTGGTTGAAATGGTGCTGTTGGTTTATTTATTGTTGTTGTATTTGTTTCTGTTGTTTGAAATTTTTGTTTGATTTATTTGTTTGTGATAAGGCACAGAATTAAGATGTCGATGTGCTCCTTCGTTCTTTAGAGATATAATGGGCAGGATAGTTGTCGTGCTTTCTGACCGGCACAAGCAGGCTCTTGAAAAGATTCCGTTTTATTTTTTTTCTAAATATGTCTGATATAGAGGTGTTACATATTAGAGTGGAGGCCTTAATTAGCACATACAAGGCAGATGTGAATGCCTTTGTGGTAGGTGATAATGTGTCTCTTAATTTTGACCCCAACGAGTTTTGTGTAACGATGGGGCTTCAACAAGGCAATTTAAGCGTAGACTTAGAGCTTAATTTAGAGTCGAAAGCCTTATTCGACGGCTGAGGTCGAGTAGGTAATAAACTGTTGAGAAGAAACCATGTTGTAGAGTTGTTAGAAAAGTTTGCTATTGATGAAGGTCGTGTAGACGACTTCATCAGAATGTATAGTTTGTTTGATTTTAGTTGCATTTTGTTTCCTTGTTCGAGTTATTCCATCCCCAGGTTTCTTTACCTTACGTAGAGGATGTGAGTCGAATTTCTGAGTACGCATGGGGAGATGCTACTCATAAATTCCTGGTTGCCGAGCTTGTTCGCCATGGTGGATCGAGAGACCGATCCAACTATGATGGATGTGTTGTTGGGATGATGGTATGATATGTGTGTTTGAATTTCTTAATACAATAATATGAAACGGTGAGCTTTTTCACTTTTCAAATCATGTCTATGTGTGTAGGTTTGGTTGTACGAGCGTGTGCCTTCTCTGGGCACACGGTCCACGCTCGAGGCGATTTCCCGTCTATTTAGATGGAAGGGGACCTCGATGTCGTCTACACTTGAAGGGTCTTTATAAGCCCTTAAAAAAGTAATGTGGCATAAGGTAATTTATATAATTTTATAGTATTATGTGTTTTCTACTTCTTCTTTTTATCTCTTTGGTTAATCGATATTGTACTTACATCATTATGATTTGCTTTGCAGGTGTATTCGTTATCGCCTATTTCAGAGGAGCGTGCCTTTGTGGAAGCATAGGTTTTCCTTTAATTTTTGTCGAGAATTTATGTTTTAGCATTAGTATATTTCATAGGTACAAGTATTATTTTAATTTGTGTTTTCCTTTATTTTTTTTTTCTTTCAGGGAACGTTTGAGACCAAACTGTATGCCATCCTTTGTCATGAAAACGATGAACTTAAAAAAAGAATTCAACTGTTGGAGTCTCAGTGGAGAGAAAGAAATACCGAAGAAAAAGAAAGAGAGGAAGAAAGAGCGGAAAAAGTGAGGAAGAAGAGGCTGATGGTGATGATGTTGGTGTTTTTGCTGAGCAAAAAGAGGAGAAGGAGGAAAAATAGAGGAGAAGGAGGAAGAAAAGGAGGAGGAAAAAGAGGATGAAAAAGAGGAGGAAAAAGATGAGGAGGAAAAAGAGGAGCAAAAAGAGGAGGAGGAAAAAAACGATGAAGAAGAACATGTCGAAGAAAAAGACGTTTATGAAAAGGAGAAGGAAAAACAATGGGCTCTCATGGTGGTTGATCCTCAACCTGTTGTGAATGAGTTTGAAGACTTGGATCGACTGGTAAACCTTGTGGTGAAGGAGGTTGGTTTGGGGTAGGAATCGGCTTGTTCGAGGGTGGAGGAGAAATCCTCTTCAATGGTGAAGAGGATCCGAGAGAGGGTCGGCAGGAAGAAGAAGGGAAAGGCGGTGGATTTTATGACCCCTCCGTCATCCGGTCCGAAGAAGCGGAAGAAACAAAAAAAAATCGCAGTTGATGATGTTGGTTGATGATGAGGTAATTAAACTAGCAATTTTATTTTTGTAATTTATGTGATTGTTCGTGTTGTTTTCATATAACTAACTAATTATTTTGTAATGTAATGTAGAAGGTGACAAGAGTGATGACGATGAGGATTCTTCTGTAAATCAATACGGGGGCAGAAACTATTTCTGTGGACATGGGGATGTCCCGGAAGAGGATTCTACAGCCATTCGGTCATTCTTGGCAAGCGATCAGTTGAGGTAACCAAAACTACGTTAATTATTTGAATTTCTATTATATTATACTAATTAAATTACAAATTTTGGTAGCAAAATAATTGTGTGGAGCAATGACCAAGTTTTGGTACGAGGGAAATTGATGTGCGCTTTTCTGTTCGGCTCCGAGTTGGATTCTCAACTCGTTGATTGCTACATGTCGATCCTGCGTGACTGCCATCCTCATATCCGAATTCTACCGACATATGTTCAGGTATATTATTTTAATATACTCTATTAATTTTTTTGATTGTTAATTTGCTAATAAAACTATTGAATTTGTAGACTGATATGATGAATGCTAGCGAAAGAATTACGAGAGACCTCTTCGGAAGGAGGATTATGAGAAGTGTGCTTCTACTTTTAGTAAAAGTATTGTTGTCGTGATTGATGATATGTTGAACTCCTTGCAGGGTGCGAAGTATGTTTTCCTTCCCGTGGTGTACAAATTCAACTTCTTCTTACTTGTCCTTAAGGTTCAAGAAAGGAAGTTTGTCTACCATAACTCGATGGATACTCCACAATACCGAGGGATGGGGAAGAGCTTGGTAAGTGTTATTACGACATAAAATTTTGTTTTGTAGTGGTTATTTCTTTCGAATAAACGTATTTTGTTGCTTTTTCCTTTTTTTTTTTTCAATGTGTAGGCCAAGTGCATGGGAGCTTATATGAATTCGAAAATGAAATATGGCATTCGTCAAGATAATTTTTTACTAGGATACTACAGGCAGCAGTCCGGTGTCAAGGACTGTGGAGTGCACATATGCTTGGAGATGAGTGCTACGGCGTCGATTCTCCTGAATTCTTGAAGGCCTAAGAGAGTTGTTCTATTGACGGCTATCGAGCACGCATGGCAGCACACATCCTCAGAAATCCTCCTTCATGTTGACTGTTTTGATGATG